AGCGACGCCGGAGGCGCCGCCAGGGGGGCCCAGCGCCGACCCAAGAAATCCGCGCGGAGTTCCGACAGTGTGTTTAGGAAGTCTGTTGCTTTCGGGGGCCCCCAAACGGGGTGGTGACCACACCGTGTGGTGAGTCGGTGGGGATTCGGGGTCACCGCACGGTTTTGGGGCGAGTCCCTCTCCGAGGATGTCTTGGGCGACAGGGGCCTCCAGGGTCCCAAGACCGTGCGGTGACGGACCGTGCGGTGAGGTCTCTCGGGGTTCCACGGTTTCGGGATCCCCAGTGCTTGTCGCTCTCAGGACACAGAGTCGGGACTACTGGAGGCGCACGTGCTGCAGAGATGCCGCTTCCGCTTGAGCCTGCTAAAGTTGTCGCGTGCCGCGCTCGCGGAGAACTGCCTCAACTCCTACCACGACCACGCCGAGCTCTACCCGCGCGTGCACAAAAACCTGGTGCTGAACCGTCGAGCGGAAGCCCCCGCTGCGCTGCCAGGCTCCGGCTCGTCGCCGCTTCCTCGGTCGTCACCGCGATCATCGCCGAGAGTTGACGACGCCAGGCCGACACTCACCCAGAGCCGATCCACTGCGTCGTCGTTGAGCGGGTCAGGTTCCTCGTCGTTGGGGCTTGGTGCCAGCGGCACCTCGTCATCAGGCCTCGGCAAGAGCAGCTCCCGGTCACTGGGCCTCGGCGCGAGTGGCTCGTTCAGCAGCAAATTTATCCCGAAAGGTGTGAGAAACCACCTCGACGCGAAGCAGGCCGCTCGAGCGATACAGTTCAGCAAGGGCGAACTCACTCGAGAGGTTTTCGTGGACATGATCGAGAAGAAGTTTGGTTACCTTCACTTGCCGACCGAACACGTGAATGAGATGTTCAGCAGTATGGACGCGGACAACTCCGGCACAGTGTCGATGTCCGAGTTCATTGGATACATGATGGCCAACACGCCGCACGATTTGGTCCACCATTTCAGCAAGGACGCAAAGTTGTTAGAGCAAACGCATCGAAACTATCGAACGTACGCTTGCCAGCGTAAGCCCCGAGCAGAAAGATCTTGCACTCTTGATGTGAATCCACCGTGATGCAAGCTGTGTGGCGAGAGATGCGAGAAACGAGGCGGCAACGAGGTGGCACCAACTGCGCACAGCCGAAACCCCGGCACACCCACCCAGCGCACGAGGTGACAACGAGGCAGCCGCGCGGCGGCACCAGCCGGCACCCGACACACCCTCGGCGCCGAGGTGGCAACGAGGCGGCGCCAGACGGGCACCCGGCGACACCCAACACTTCCACCCAGCAGGCGGGGCGGCAACGAGGCGGCACCAAGTGGGCACCAGCCGAAACCCCGACACACACACACACACGGCGCACGAGGCGACAACGAGGCGGCAACGAGGCGGCACCAGCCGGGCTCCGGCGGAAACCCGGACACGCCCACCAGCGCACGAGGCGGCAGCGGGGCGGCAGCTAGGCGGCACGAACGGGCGCCAGCACAAATAACAACCCCTAAGTGCAAGCATTGTTTAGGGAATCAGGGAACGTTATTCCAGAGCGGATGTGGAGCACTGAAAAGCAATTCTTGGAGGAAGGCGAAGCAAAGAGATGGTACATTACCGTGCGAATCAAACTAATGCAGAGCAATGTAATGCAAAGCCATGCCTGGAACAAACAACGCAACCAGCACAAAGTAATGCAACACCAAACAATGCAAACCAAAACAGTCGAAAGCGCTGCAAAGCGATGCAGAGCAGTGGAACGCAGTTCTAAGCAATGCCAGGCAGCGCAAAACCATGCAACGCAAAGCAATACAAAGCAGTCCTTTCAGAGCAGCGCAAACATCGCAAAGCAGTGCAAAGCGAAAGCTATGAGAGGAACCCATGGCCACCAGAAAATAGTAGACGCTTCACGTAACCCCACCAGCCCCCGGGGCCTTGCCTTTGCATTTCTCATTCCTACCTCGACTGGCGGTTCGTTGGCCACGGCCACCCTGGTGCCCACGCAGGCGTCTGAGGTACGGTATCATGCCTTCTCTGTCGGAGCTGTCCCTGGCCGTCGTTCACATTCCGACCGGCGCCTCCGACGGATTTGCAGCTTTGCACGCTGGCGGTTCCCCTCAGTTTCAGTCTCTCCAGCCATCCACCTGCCGTTGGGCCGCTGCGTGAGGCCTCGGCCGGCGCGTTGCTGTTGCCTTGCGCGTCGCCTCTGCTTTTATTTTCCCGCGCTTCCTCTGTCTAGTTAGTCTCTGCGTAGCCCGCTTTGACCTGACTCGCCGCCGGCGCGCTCGCCCGCGGCCGCTGACTAAAACGTCACCCCACCAGCCCATCAGAAACGATGTTCAGAGGAGTTGCCTCGATCAGGGAAGTGGGCAGCACGCAGAGGAAGGGTCCCCCAGTGGAGGCCTCTTGGAGCGTCTTGGGGGCCTCTTGGCGGTCCCAGAGGCCTTTTGGAGCGTCTTGGGTGCCTCGGGGAGCTTCTTGGGACCTCTTGGGGGTCTCTTGGGAGCCTATTGGAGGCCTCTTGGGCGCCTCTTGGGGCCTCCTGGGGCCTCCCGGGCGCCTCTTGGGGCATTCCCTGGGGTTCCCAGGATCTAGAATCTAGATCCAAGCATGCTGGATCTATTATGTACGTTGTTAAGTAGATCCACGCGTACCATAATATATCCATGATATGTGAAGTTATGTCATCGTAGATCCACGATGCATTGATGCGGAGAAAATGTTACAAACGATGGTAAATCTTATTTTTCGTGAGATTCAAGGTTGAACGCAGAATGCTCGTATAAGCCAGCACCGCGGCGCGGCTTCTGTGAACGGCATTCGTAAGCAGGATACTTCGCGAGAGCTAAGCCGCCACTTCTACCCCAAAAACAGCATGAACAAAACATCGGAGGAGGAGGAGGCGGAGGAGAAGGAGGAGGAGGAGGAGGAGAAGGACGAGGACGAGGACGAGGAGGAGAGGGAGGAGGAGGAGGAGGAGGAGGAGGAGAAGGAGGAGGAGGGTGAGGAGGAGGAGGAGGAGGAGGAGGAGGAGGAGGAGGAGGAGGAGGAGGAGGGGGGGGAGGGGGAGGGGGGGGAGGAGGAGGAGGAGGAAGAAAAGGAGGAGGAGGAGGAGGACAAGGAGGAGGAGTAGGACGAGGAAAACGACGACGACCACGACCGCCCGCGCCCCGATCTACGCGGCGGTGGACAACAACAACAACAACGCCAGAGGCGGGGACCCTCGCCACCACCGCTGCGAGGGAGGGGAGAGGAAAGGTGGGACCATGTTCTTCGGACCGTCCGTTGTTCGAGGCCAACCCCGTAGTTCGGCGTCGTTCGAGGCGTCGTTCGAAGCCAACCCAGTAGTGGGGGATCGGCGGAGGTAGCGTCAGCACGATAATTCTGATATACGAAGGTTTTGGCGAGGGCGATGGCACCAAAAGTTAACCGATCATGGCTTTGAATTCCATACTCGTGCACCAAAGACGGACATTTCGGAACTAGAGCCCAACCCCGAACATGTTCCGAAAGAGATGATCGGCAACCTAGTCGAGGTGTTGAGCAGGTTGGATCTGGATTAAGACGTATTCTGCCCATCCCTTCCTTGACGCTCGCCGTGTTTACATCCTTCTCCTTTCCCCTCCTCGACCACAGGTCCCATTCGAGATCCAACCTGCCAACTCCCCATGGGGGTGCGCTGAGGAACGCGCTGAACCTGCGTGTCGAGCGGCCGACGGAACTGGCGATGGCCCGCGCAAGAAGCCGCATGCTGAGGAATCTCCTCGCGGTAGTGAGAACATTGGCTCCAAGAAACGCCGTGGATCGAAGGATGAGAGCATGCAGAAGGCAGCAGATGATGCTCTCGCGAGGGCGCAGCAAGTCTCGGGATCGCAACGCTCGGGGGCCAACAAGCACGGCTCGGGGACCAACCCAGGATTCTCAACGGTTGGGCTGATTGGGTTACACATAGCGCCTTCGTTGTTTGTTTGTCCAGTGGAAAGGGGTGGGGGAAGACAGCTGGGTCCAAACCGTTCCTGGATGCCTCGGGTCCGAAACGCCGGTTTTCTCTGGAATTCGGGAAAAGGATGAAAGGAACGGAGAACGCGATGGGGGCGAGGGCGACGTGCAGGTAAGCGCGTGGGGTGGCGTAACCCAACTGGCTCAACCAAGCGAAAGTTCCCAGATCATTTCGGAATGCACGCTGTGAGGCGCTCTGTTGTTCGCTCTGCCGTGCTTGGCTTGGACGATGATCCCCGCTTGTTTTCGGGCGCGCCCTTGAGGCCGCATGGCCCCGCGCACAGCTGGGACGTGCACGCCCTTCGCGGCTGCGCAACGGGATCCGCGGGGCCCAGCTCGAGTTCTGTCGTTGAGAGAGCTCCGCCCCCGAAGCGGGACGAGAGCCATGCCGATCTTTCGCTGTCTGACCAAGAATTGATGGGCGTGCCTCGACCCCAACTTACTCCCTCGCCGTCCTCAATCGTTTGCCGCCCCTCCCCCAGGGGCGCCATCGACGTTGACGACAGCCAGGCGACTGCGGCCGCTGCAGTCTAGTGGACGGGGAGAAGAGCGGCGACGAGGAAGAGAAGGAAGAGGAGGGGGCGGAGAAGGGGGCGAGGAGGAGGAGGAGGAGGGGGATGGGGGAGGACACGGATGAGGAAGACGACGACGACGACGACCACGACTGTTGCTGCCCTTGCTCTCTCTCTCTCTCTCTCTCTCTCTCTCTCTCTCTCTCTCTCCCTCTCTCTCTCACTCTCTTCTCTCTGGCTCGAGTCCAGTTGGTGTCTGAATGTTTGTATCTCTGTCCGTCCTTCCTGTATCTCGTATGGGCTCTGTCATATCGGCCTTCTCCTTAAGTTTCGCGGCCCCCTCCAGCTCCTCTCGCCCCCATGTCCGACCTCTCCTTGATCCTCTTCTGGATATCCGCGTGCGTCACGTCTCTTAGTCACGCCCGGCACGACCACGCGACGCTTCCACGTCGGCACTGGCGACGTCGAGGGGCAATGGGACTCAATGGCTGCGTTGACTCCCAGTGAGTCGCAGTGAGTCCCGCTGCGCTTCGACGCCAACGCCAACGTGCGAAGCCCGCTGGCCGTTCACTGGGCACGGGCGCAGCGGCGAATGACGAAGGGGAGCAGGAGGGGATGAGGAGGAGGTAGCAGTGGAACAGGAGGATGAGGATGAGGAGGAGGGTGAGAAAAACTTTGGATCCAGTCGAGCCGCTACCGAGCGCGTTTCCCACGCACTCGGGCAACAGGGCCTCTGTTGGCCTGGCAAGTTGAAAAGAGCACGCTAGAACTGAGCGCAGAGACGCAATAATCCAACATGCCCGCAGTGCAACGCAATCGCGCACTCCCTCCCCGTCGCCCCGTCGCCGCGCCATATCTGCGATGGCCGCGCGCGAGTTGGAGGGGGCCGACGGGCAGGGATTGCGCAATAGCATCCTTCTCCGAGCATGTTCGAGAATGTAAGAACCATGCAGGTCGCATCTGGCTGGCTGACGCTACTGGTGGTGTCGGGGCATAGCTCGGATGTATGCGTGATGTTGCCAGCGTTGCCACTGTTGCCACGTAAGTTGCCATGCTATCGTTGCCATCGTTCTGCTGTTGCCATCGTCGCCACGGGCCAGTGCTGCTCACTTTCCTCCTGCCACCCCCATTGCTCCTACTTTACCACGCTGCTACTCATATTAATATGATTACTACTACTACTACTACGCTTAATTACGACTACTCTCACTCTTACGTTCACTACCACTACTGTTATTTCTTCTACTGCTGCTGCTGTTGCTACTGCTGCTACTACTACTACCAATACTACTACTACTACTACTACTACTACTACTACTACTGCTACTACTACTACTACTACTACTACTACTACTACTACTACTACTACTAAACACTACTACGACTACGACTACGTCTACGACTACGACTACTACTCCTACTCCTACTCCTCCTACTACTACTACTACTACTACTACTACTACTACTACTACT